TCAATACAACAAATTAAGAATAACAAATTTTGAACCATCCAAAGTATAATTCCAAAGAGTAAAATAAAAATAAAAACTAAAGAAAAAAGAAGAATGATACTTCTAAAAAAAAAAAAAAAAATGAAGATAAAAAATCAACCACTTCTAAACATCAATTAGAAAGAGAAAATAAAAATAAGACAAATCAACTACTTCTAAACATAAATATCAATTAGAAAGAGAAAAAAATAATAATAACATAATAATAATGCTTATAAAAAGAAAAAGTAAAGAAAAAACTTATGAGACCAATTATAAAGAGAAAAGAAAAAATATGCACATCACAAGCTTGGCCTAATATATATATATATATAGAGAGGTTATACGTGATAGAGTTTTATAGAAAATAAAATAGGTAACTGAAATTTTATTAAGTAATTTGTGTTAGAGTTTTATAGAAACTCTTTTTATAAAAACACTTTTTATATTAATTAATAAATATATTTTTTTATATTAATAAATAAATATTGAACTGATGAAGCAATTAATAAATATTTTTTTATATTAATAAATAAATACTGAAATACTGAATTACTTTGCACATTTAATAATAGTATATATATATATATATATATATATATATATATTCAAATAATATATTAGTTAATTTAATTAGTTAATGATAATTTAATGGACTCTAAGGATGTATTAGTTAATAATTATTTAAATATATGAATTAATATTAATAAATTAAATATTATCAATTGGGTTGTGGTTAAAAGATAAATAACTAATAAATAATATTAATTATAAAAATAATAATGAATAATTTAGATAAAACCCAATTCGCGGATTCAATTCGATCCGATCCATTATTATACGGATTTGATCCATGGGATAACGGATCGGTGGCGGATTAAGATTTGTCTAATCCGTTAGGAGCCGATCGAATTAGGATTAACGCCTAATCCAATTCGATCCGATCCGTATCCACTCCTACTTTAAAGGTGATTGACTTATTATGAAAAATACCCCTACAAAATCAATGGGGATTTTATTCAATTCGTCTAATTATGTGAAATTAGTTAAAGATTCAATTTTTTTCTCTTTCTTGAATTATAAAATTTGAACTTATATTTTTTGTTACATGCATCGCCATACTTTTAATTAAATAAAAGTATAAAATAAAATAAAATTCATAGTTATAAGTGCAATAAATATGATTTCAAATTTTGTATGTTTACTCATATTATACATTATGTATTTACCAGTATTATATTTTTTTAATTTACACAATGCATATATATAAGTATACGAGATAGATATTTGATCAAACAATTAGATTAACAAAAATAAATTACAATTATAAAAAGTAATTGAAAGGCATAAAATAGTACTTTTTCTTTCATTTTGTTTAGTTGAATAAAAAATTATTACACAAAAGCACAAGATATAACGTGGTTCAGCCGAAACTGACGTACATCCATGATGAGAAGAGATTTTAATATGACTTTTAGAGATATTACAATATTATAGTACTAACACCATGTATATATTTTTTCACTATGTACCACTTCACGAGGCTATCTCCTCATTAAAAGTACCAACGGTGTTTTTCTTACTCTACCAACCCATAAAATACTTATGTATGCCCGTTAACTTTCTCATGAGGCTACATTCCTCTCTCTCTCTCTCTCTCATAGGTCTTAACCTAAAACTTAGGTATCTATCTATAGAGTTACAAGCACAATTCCTTGTTGAACAAGGATTATAATTCCTTGGAGTCCAAGACTTGTCTAACAAGAAATTTCCTAATAAAATATTACTCTGAAATAGAAGCATAATTTAACTAGAAATTTGAGAAACAATTCCCAGAAAAGGAGATGTGTATCTCTAAGAATGAATGAGATACAATAAAACGATCCAAAAGAGTATTCGAGTCCTAAGGAAGGAGGTAAATATAGTAAAACGATCTTAAAGGCGATGTGTGCCTCTAAGAATGGAGGAAATGCGATAAAATGATCCTATAGAACATTTGAGTCTTAAAGAATGAGGTTAATGTGATTAAACGATCTTAAAGGTGATGTATGCATCTAACAACATAGGAGTTGCAATGAAATGATCTTAAAGAGCATTCAAATCCTAAGGAGCGTGGTACATAGAGTTTACAGGATGTGCACTCTAATTGAAAATGGTGACATCAAAAGATGTGCGACTTAATTTGAAGAGGACTTAATTTGAAGAGGATTTAGAAAAAATGAGTAATTTATTATGAAATGGGATGGTGAGATGAAAATTTCCTCTTAATAAGGGGTTTTGAGATAGAGATGCCACTCGGGGTGTAAAGTATAGGTAATGGATGAAAATGTCTAGCTCGGGAGATGTTTTGAGATGAAAAAGTTATTTGAGTAAAATATAAGCAAAGGATGAAAAATACCTCCTAAGGGAGGTTTTAAGATAAAAATGTTGTTAAGATGTGTATCTGCCTTGCAAAGTCAATAATTATATTTTGACATTTAGATTAAATAAATCTTATTTGTTTTTCTTTATATAATATTGATGAATGTCTGTACGGAGAGTTCGAGTTAAGGACTAGGTGTTTCTTTAATTATGATAGAATATTTCATGTGTACATGCATAGAAGTAGGATTGTGCATGGTAGATATAAATCATTGTAATCATTAATGTTCGCTCTAACTCAGTGGAAGCATTTATTGGGAATAATTAACTCCCTTCAACTCACTCAATAGTCGACTGTTATTGAGAGTTAAATCTCTCCTTCATCTCACACAGCGAAAATATTATCACATCACATCAACACAAGTATATATAGAGATAACAATCACACACATCAATGCATAACACAATTTTTTACACGATTCACCCAACTCTAGGGTTAGGTCTATGAAAGAGAGATTTCACTATTATAAATCAAGAAAGATAATATATAATCACATGTTAAAATCCTACTCACTCACTCATCTTCTTTTTTGAGGCTACATGTATACACTCGAGAATTACATATACTCTCTCCTTTCCTCACAACACTCACCCTTAAACTCCTTACATATTTTCTCTCTCTCTAAACCTCTCATACCCATATCTATTTGTAGAGATTTCAAACTCAATTTCTTGTTGGACAAATATTCCTCAACTAGTATTAAGGAGTTACCATATTAATCTTAAAAGTAAAATAAAAACTTAATGGGATACAATTTCCTTCACAAATTTTAGCCTTCCAAAAACAAAAACAAAAACAAAAACAAAAAAAAAACCTAATTTTCTACATACAAATTTTAAAATTTTGAGCCACAAATCTAGCACCACTAAATAGAATGACTTATCTTACAATCACCTTAATGGAGAGTTTCAAAACTAAATGTGTTAGTATGTGGGACACACTGAACGAACTTTCCAAAGCTAAAAGAGTCCCAAGTTCCATCTCTTTAAGATCTTAAGGTGAGTGACAAGTTCTCCCTTCCAATCTTCACGCTCTGTGGCAAAAGGTGCTATAATGGAGGAGGAAATGAGGAATGGTTTCCCTTTCTTTTTAAGTATATTTTATCATTTCCGGGGTGGGGAAAAAACATTTTTTTTTATTTTATTCCATCGGCCCACTTTTTTTTTTTTTTTTTCCGTCTTTCTCGTAGGGCAGCAAAAATGAATCTCTTTGAGAATAATTGTGCAAGATTTGACCCTTCTAAATGAGCAATGGTAAGAGTTGGAGATTTCACAGGTAGCTTTAAAAGTATAATTTGCTTAATTTAATATCAATTTTAGTTTATCAAATATTTATATGTTCATATTGATCAGTTTTGAATGGGGAGAGTAGAAAGTTAGTGAATCAAGACATAAGGAGATGTGGTTTGGCTTTTTCTCTGACTCGGTAGCAATGGGAAAGCAAAAATGCTTAAATTTGTTAAATTAATTGATGTAAATGCCTACTTTTTGATGTTTGAGGAAAAGAATTTGCAATAGATGAAGGTTATGAATATAGTAGCCACAAAATGGATGAGAACATGCTTGATTTATAATTCTGAAAATAGTTTTCAGAAATTCAGAAAAATAAAAAATAATTTTTAAAAAACTGAATCAAACAGAGTTTTTTGTACAGTTTTATGTTTTTAATTTTTTGAGAAAAGAAAATTGTTTCTATAATTACAAACCAATTAAGTCCTTAAGTTTATGCCTTGACTTAGTAAGAATGGAAAGCAAATATACTTAAATTATAATGAATAGATCTTTAAGGAAAGAAAAATGATATTAAGTTTGAAAATCAGGTGCATCCGATTCCTTCAATTGTGTCACGGCTCCTCAAAAAATAAATTGTGATAATTTAGGGTATTTGTTTATGTTATGGTAGAGCCCATAACCCCATTCACATTGAAAAGAGTCCGATATAACCGGCTTTCAAATATTATATCACAACTCTCGGTAAAACGACTTATGATAGGTGATGGTTATGGATTGCTGGTGGCCATGGCATGAGGAGCTTAATTATGATATGCAAGGCTGATTGTTATGGGGGTTCTATTAGTTTTTATTTTTTTATTTTTATTATCTATTAATTGTCTTTTCAGGATTAATTGTGTGCCTATAAACCGTGGAAGTCTACAAGTCTTGGCTTATCTGTAGCCACACCTCTTCTTTACCCCGTCTTCTACACTCAAAAGTTAGCATCACTTGTGGCCAACATAATAAAAGATGCTGCCACATTTTCTAGAAATGTTTTGGTATTTCAAAAATTCCTCATTTTTCTTCAATATATATATATATATATATATATATAGTCTCTGCACTTGCATTTAAGTTAAAAAAATTGAGAGAGAGAGAGAGGTGCCAAAGAGTCGAGTCTTTCTAGTGCTTGCCAAGGAGAAAGGTGAGTAGGAAACTTCGTCCATTTGCGTGTTTGTGAGTCTGCCTCACCAAGTCTTCCATGTCAGTCAAATTCCAAGTCAACTGGCGTGTTAAAGCAGATAGGAAAAAAAACACCTTAATATTTTCTAAGAAAACAAAACAAGAAGTGACACTTGTCACACAATTTTTACCTTATTATAGATACCATAATTGAATTCTTGTTCTTCTTCATCTCTTGACTGATTGATTTCCTGTTGTGGTTATTTTTAATTTTGCAAATTTGGGAACTTCATCAAATGGCTATGGCTTCCATTTTTGCTGTCATTTTTCTCTCTGCTCATCTAGTGCTCATTCACTCAACCGATGAAGACGATAAAAAACCCCTCCCCATTTGCCCAAAGTCCTTCCAATGCGGAAATCACACCACCATCAGCTTCCCTTTCACAAACCACACGTATTCCCATTGCGGTATTGAGCTACATTGCCCCAAAAAAGGTGGAAAAATCCAACTTCGGAGCCAATTCTGGTATGATGTTGAGAGCATAAATGACAGTATCCTTAAAATTCATGATCCCGTGCTCGAACAGCACATAGCTCAGGGAAGCTGCGACGACACCTTCAAGAATCTAACCCTTCCCTACTTTCCTTTCGTTTCTTTCATCATCTTGAACAATCTCACCTTCTTCAAGTGCAATAACACTCCTCATTTCATTACTCATAGTTATATTGGTTACAGAGACTGCCCGGGGGGCTCCACTGTCTACTACAAATATCCAGATGATGATGAACCTACACCCCCTGCAGAGAGTCTTCCACGTAATCAATGTTCAGCTATTCAGCTGCCAGTGTTGTGGCCTAGAAATAATACAAATCCCGGATATCCTTTCGGACTATTGAATGCAACTTTCCCTCTTAAATGGCATATATCCCATGATTGTCAAATGTGTCTTGATAGAGGCCGCCAGTGTCTAAATATCAAACATAAGTTCGTATGTCGAGAGTTTAAAGGTATGGATGGGTGTTTCAATCAATACAACACTCTTTTACGCCAATTTTATGGTTCTTTATGTGGGCAGGACTTGAATTTTTATTTTTTGATCATTAGTTGAGGTTTCAAGATTTAACAAATTAACTACACAACTTTGGCCTCGTACTTCTTTCAGTCTGAAACTAACACCTTTCTGCTTGATACTGACTGCAGGAAAAAGAAACTACAGATTGATTCTAGGAACAGGTAATATACATGTTTATATATATGTGTGTGTGTGTGTGTGTATGTACGTATGTATAAGTTTTTCAAGGTTTCTCTGTAACATATCTTTGTAACCTTCAACATAAAATTGATTTCCAATTTTGAAGTTTTTCCTGCACACCCTTTGGTCAAATTAGCTTTTTATTTTCTTTTTTCCTGATTTCAATTAAAAAATTCATGAATATGATTGAATCAATAGCTGAATACTATACCTTTTTTTCTTTTTTCTTTCAGCTATTCCAGGATTTGTTATCCTCGCCTTGCTCATATTGATTATATGGCGTCGATACAAGTGGAATTATGTGTTTTCATACTTCCTTTCAAGGAACAATACTTCTTTCCATCCCTCCTCAAAAACAGACCTCGAAGGAGGTAGCATTTTCTTCGGGATCCCTGTGTTCTCCTACGCTGAACTTGAAGAAGCCACCAACAATTTTGATCCTAAACAAGAACTCGGAGATGGGGGCTTTGGAACTGTATACCATGGTAAGAAAATTGGAAATTACTGCAATATTTGTGTGTATATCATGGTAAGATAATTGGACATTATTGCTATATTTGTGTGTATGTACATGGTAAGAAAATTGGACATTACTGCAATATTTGTGTATACCATGGTAAGAAAATTGGAAGTTACTGCAATATTGTGTGTATGTGTGCGCGCGTGCGCACATAGTTGACATGCGTTTGATATTTTTTATGGACTAGGCAAACTTCGGGATGGGAGGGAAGTTGCAGTCAAGCGCTTATACAATCACAACTACAAGCGGATGGAGCAGTTCAAGAATGAAATCGAAATCCTGGCTGGCTTGAGGCATCGCAATCTTGTCACTCTTTATGGCTGCACCTCGCGACACAGCCGTGAACTACTCCTAGTTTACGAATACATTCCCAATGGCACACTTGCTGACCATCTCCACGGTGATCAAGCAAAGCCCGGTTCGCTTCCATGGCCTATTCGGATGAACATTGCCATAGAAACCACGACTGCATTGGTTTACCTCCATGCTTCTGACATCATACACCGCGATGTCAAAACCAACAACATTCTCCTTGACAACAATTTTTGTGTCAAAGTTGGTGATTTCGGGCTTTCAAGGCTCCTCCCAACCGATGTCACTCATGTCTCGACGGCTCCACAAGGGACTCCGGGCTACCTTGATCCGGAGTATAGCAAATGCTACCAACTTACTAATAAGAGTGATGTTTATAGCTTTGGGGTTGTCCTGATCGAGCTCATATCGTCGTTGCCAGCAGTTGATGTAGGTAGGCATAGGCATGAGATTAATTTGGCCGACTTGGCGGTAAACAGAATCCTGAACTGCGCGTTCAATGAGTTAATTGACCCATGTCTTGGATTTGAGTCCGATGGTGCAGTGCAGAGAATGACTTCTTCGGTGGCAGAGTTGGCTTTTCGGTGTTTGCAGTATGAAAGGGAACTGCGGCCTACAATGGATGAAGTTTTGGAGACCCTGATGGCAATTCAGGGCCACGAGTGCAATGTTGGGGCGTTGAAAAGTAAAGGACCGCCTCTTTCACCGGAGTCCGACGATGTCGCGTTATTGAAGACTAAAGAGATTCCACCTTCGCCAGTTTCTGTGACAGATGGTTGGGTAAGTCGATCTACCACACCCAACACAAGTGTGTGATGAGGCTTCCTTTCATTCTGCTAAAAAAAAAACTCAACTCTCATAACTATATGCAAATCAATAGGTTATAATTATTCTCTTCTCATCTGTTTATCTTTGTTTAATTTGTTGTTCATATTGATAATTTAAATATAAGGTCGAGGGAATGTAGAGCTGCTATTTGTATATTTATGTTGATAGATCTTGAAGAAATTTCAGACCTAAATTTCAAAGAAGATAATAAACTTTCACTATATATTACCTTTTACATATGCAACCAACATTCTTGATTTTTCATTTGTAAAATCAATTGTAAAGAGTAAAATGGATGTGTATTTTAGTCAAAATAATCTGTCCATATGTTACATGGGTTGAATATAATACATATAATACCCTTATAGATTTAATATAGTGCATATAACACCCTTATAGTACAAAATGAGCGTATTACCTTACTTCAACGAAAAAAAAAAAAAAAAAAAAAAAAAAAAAAAAAAAAAAAAAAAAAAATCACATTATACCCTTCCCTTAATGTGCTTAGTTATTAATGTTGAAGGCCTAGAAAAAATGGATGTAAATAGAAAGACTAGATGAGGCATCTCAAAAAATATTCATTATATGTGTGACAAAATTTTCGTATAATTTAACTAGTGATTTTGTAAGTAAAGATTAAAATTGATATTACATATTTGTAGGTTACATTTATTTCTTTTCATCTCTCTTCGCCCAATTTTGAACCGATAAAAAACTTTCCAAAACCATGGTTTAGGTCCTTGCTTGCTTCCTTCCTTCCTTCCTTTGGCGTGATTAAAGATTATGTCTGACTCTGATACCAACTGAAACGGATGCACGCTTGCCCATTTACCCAAAAACTCAAATTATTAGGTACTACAGCATACCCACCCATTTATACCCAATCACTTTTCCATTCAAATATAACGTGAAACAAATGACCCCTTTTACATATAACCACTACATCTCAAAGAGAGGGAGAAGGCTCGAGATCTCAAAGAGGAGGAGGCAGGCAGTGTGTGAGTAGACTTACACATGACATCCAAAGTTTCAAGGCAAAAAAATCAGAATAATACCACAATAGTAATCCACAGCCCATTTAAAATCCCACTAGTTTATCAAATAAAAAATAAAATTTAACCAAAAAAAAAAAAAAACACGCCCTCAGGAATCATGATAAACTTTGAGAGAGACAATGGAATAAAAAAACAAAGTACGAAAGAGGGAAATTTACATGGAAGTATAAATAAAGGAATCCATACTAATAACTTTGATTCAGTATTACATCAACACTACACCTTTTGAATTACAATTACAGATTTAGCAATAGACAATTTTTCAAAAAGAAAAAAGGAAAAAGGTGAGTTGGGTGCTCAAGCTTCATTGTAATGAAACAATGTAGCTCTCTTTATAGGAAACGTAAAAAAGTAATCCTACAATTCTGAAATGTTGAAAGGACTATATTGCTCACCCGGAATTGGTTTCTTTAGTAATCCAGGAACAGGCCTTCTTCATTTCCTGACTGCATTAACAAATAAAAATAAATGAGTTAAATTGATTAATCATTCTGAAAATTTTCCGACTTCCTTGTACCACCCTCCTTCAACTGCCTTGCTTCACCGCTCCGTCGCCTTCTGCATTCATCCTTCTCCACCGAGCCAAAAAGAATTGCAAAAAATATATGCTTCCTATCTTTTGCTTATATCCAGAGTGAAAATAGAATCAATTCACCTATTCTACGAGTTGAATATTTGCATGTCCTCAAGCCATGCTCCCAAAACTGAATGATCCATTGATTCGATTTGGGATTTGGATTTCAAACCCTCACCAGATGACACAGCGCCAGAATTTGGGACTGTGTAATTATTATTCATCTCAGGTGGCTGTGATTCCTTGACTACAGATTTCACCCATGATAGGTCAGGCTCCTCGCTGTTGTTATTGAGCTCAAATGAAGATGATCTTCTTAATCGATTCAGTTCACCTCCATTGACGGACCAATCTACTTTTTCATTTGGTGATTCCCATTGTGACCATGAGTTTATAGGAGATCCTACAATGGAGGCTCCATTGCTAGACCCAAGATCCCGAGAACTGAGACTTCGGAACTGTTGATGCTGCATTTCACGTTGAGCAAACGCAGAGAGCCGAGAGCTCATTGGTGAAATAGGCTCAACACCTCTCGGTGACATCCTTCCAGGTGACGAGACAAAAGATGCCTGCATAGGGTGCTCAATATTTCTGGGTGAGAAAATGTTGGTGTTGATAGGGGATAACATGCTCTGCTGCTGCTGTTGAAAATGATTGAAAACAGCTGATTTGTGTGTGGGAGAAAAACAAGCCGCCCCTTGGTCAGCATATCGGGGAGAAGAGGCATTCTCAGAAGAAAAAAGATCTTCAAGGTTAGAAGGAGTTAGCATTTTGGAACGAACAGAACAGTTCAAAGCGGCAGAATTGGAATGGGATTGTGTGAAAGAGGTCAAATCATTTAGAAGCTGTTGCTGGGCATCAAAATCTGGCAACATGTTGAAACCCTCGGGAAATTCCCGGGCACTGAGGGAAGATCTCAAGCGACTTGACTGAAGGTTGCTTCCAGGAAGATGAAGGGTTGGAACATTTGGTTGAGGCCAAGCTGGGGATGAGTGTGAAATGCCATTCGACGACGGAGACATGGACTGATTGAATGCAGAAGGAGACATCATAGAGACTGACGAGGGAGAACCAGGCAAAAGGCTCAAGGCAGCAGCCATGTCCATAGCACTTGCAACAGAGGCAGTTGACCTAGGAGATGGAACAGCTGAACCAGTGGAGACATACAACGGTCGCAATTCCTCAGTGGTGTGTGCAAAAAAGCAAACCCGTCTTGCGCAGCTTGTGCCATCCTTGCAGAGTCGGGTCCGATATTGAGCAGGGTGGAGCCAGCACTCAAACACACCATGAGCATACTCACACAAATCCGCACGCCTACAAGCACCCTTTCTAAAATCAGGGCAAGGCACACAACTGTAATGGTACTTGCGTGGATCTCTTCTGCGAGCATTTTCTCCCGGGTGTACAAAAGGGCACTCAGTCCAATCATGAGAATAAGCCCTTGAACAAGGCCGGACCTTGAATGAAAACATCCTGAACTCATCAGTTGAATAAATGCTGTTCTTGATGTCAGGCAATGATGGGTCAATTGGGTATTCTTTCTTCTCAGAAACAGAACTAGCAAGAATATCATTGAACTCTGATGTCATTGCAGAAGACACAAAATTCGAAGGAGAAGATGGAGAATGATTCTCAGGCGATGAAGAAAGTGTTGGAGAGTTGGAGTCTGAACTAGCAATTGATATCCGTAAATTGCACTTAAAGACTGTGTCATCGGAAACATTCTTCATCAGCAATTCTTCAAGACAACTTTTTGATCCTGGAAGATTTGGCGGGGTAGCTATCACATCAGCAGGCCGATGACCATTGGTGTCCACAACATTCGGATCAGCACCTGCTGATAAAAGCAGTTTAACAATGTCGGCAGAATTAGCAGATCCACTGGAGGCAGCACAGTGGAGGGCAGTGCTCTTGTCCACGCTACAAGAAAGATTTACATCAACCTTGGGCTGAGAGAGTATTAATTTCAGAACATCAACACTACCATAGGTAGCAGCAACCATCAACGGAGTTCTGCGCTCAAGGACTATTTGTTTCGAGCCCTTCTTTCGGACATACCAGAGTCCAACCACATTCACTGTGGAAGCATCACAATCAACCAATTGTTTGAAACCCTTAAAGTCATTGTTAGCAGCAAGTTCAAGTAAAGTGGAAGAAGAATCTTCTGTCTCAACAGTTAGTTGACTCATATTTTTGGTGTTGGGTTTGTTTTCTACAGTAGATGGGCACGAAGATGATGTCAATTTTGTTTGTTCAGGACCACCACACATGCTTCAGTCCGCTGCAACTCAACCAGGGAACACAATTCAGTGACATCAAAATACAACAAGCAGCACAACTAAAAGTATATTCCCAACATCAAAATATCTGGGTAGTCAGGCTCTCAAATAAGAAAATGCAAGTACAGGTTTGCAATAAAAGCAAAGAACTCAATTAAAGAATTACAAAGTAAAATTAAATATGTAAAGCACTCTCTCTCAAACAACACAAGCTGTCAAAGAAGATCACTTACATATTTTGAGAATTTCATGCATAATAAATTTGTAAGAAAAAATAAATTCCGAAACATCAATCTTAGAAAAACAAGAAAATCCAAAATAAGATCTATAAATATAAAAAATAAATAAAAGTAAAATGGTCAGGAAAAAAAAAAATCAGTGTATACTGAAACATTGTAAATGGTCAGTTACACAAAATCATGCAGTTATCGCAGTTTTCAACCTAAGAAAATATATTATGCATCTAATATTATCCTTACACACAAACACATTTATAATTTGTATACATGTACAATTTAACTCAAAAGTACATAGTCTACTGGTGCTCTCACCGTGAGCTCGCATCCGTTGGATTAAGTTGTACGCTTACACAATCTCTGGAGTATATGAGCCCACATGAAAATGCCCACATGATAGCTTTCCTTATTTATAAAATTTAAATGAGTCAAACCATACCCCCATTTGGTTTCTAAGAGACCAAAGAAATGACCAAAATAATAATAATAATAATAAAAATAATATCAACATCCTAGCGCAAATTGCCGTAGTGTTTGTTCTTCATTCTTATAAAACCTAAAACAAGCAAATATTATTCAATTCAAGATACAGTCAATTTTGTTTTCACGTCTTTTTCTTAGCAAACAAACGGAGGCAGGCACCTAAGTAGGTCCGAGTGGGGGAGGCCGTCCCCACTGAAATTTTTTTATTTCTATTATATACCTATTTGTTAAAATCCTAAAACTGCCCCATTAAATTTTTGATAATATTTATACTTGCCCCTACTAAAATTTTAAATTATAAAAAAGAGTGATCAACTCTCTCTCTTTCGCTAGCTCTTCCCCTCTCTCTCATTATATTGCTATAATTTCCAAAGAAAACAAAATCTTATACAATTAAAGTTACATGTCAATGGTAGAACCGCGTCCCTATTAAACAATAAAAATACCCTTCATCTCAAAACCCAAAACAAAGATAAAAGAGAGAGACTATGGAGAAAGAAGCATGTTTACGCAACTTATGTTTTCAAAAGCTAAAAACTCAACAAATACAATTATAAATGTATTGAATGGAAATATTATTAACGATCAATATTTTGTATTTATTATATTGATTCAAAATTTTTAATTTAATTATCATTCAAGGTCACCCAAAAAAAAAAAAAAATCATCATTAGGGCAACTAACATAACCTATACCATAATTTTGAAACACCACAAAAACATCATCGGAGAATCATTAATTACCACACATCTATGTAAAGTACATCCACAAATTTTGAAATCTAACCTAAAAAAAACAATCTTTGAAATTTGAATGCATAACATAACTATATACATACACACACAACAATCAAACACAAATTTTTACATATAAACACATAAAGAATGAAATTTCACGATATCGATGAATAAATTTCAATCTTGTAACTAATTTAACTAAAACGATTGCATAAAAGTAATTACCACAAATTTAACTGAATCATATGATAATCGTAGTGTTGAATATACTACACAATAGATCAATAGACAGTGTAAAACATAAAATAGAATCATCGGATAGTCAAACTCACCATCGATCAAAAAAGCCGATTACTAAACTCATCCCTTTGGGGAGAGACAATTCACAGATCTGTAGAGAGAAAAAAACTTAAAGAAATTTGGAGAGAGAAAGTCGAAGACAAGATGGCGACGAAAATTGGAATCCTAAATGGCTTCAATCTCTATTTTCCAGGTTACTCGAAAATGATAGAGGTGGGTGGATGTTGATATGCTGGTCCGATTCAATACAACTGAGGAGTAGGAGAGTGTGATCGACATATATATCAAGAGAGAGAGAGTACTAGTGTGAGTAGAGAGAGAAACAAAAGCATGAGCTTTTTGAAATTGAAATTGAAATTGAAATTGAAGTTGAAATGAAATGAAGACGAATTCGGCCTGAATTTGATTTCTTTATTCCCACTGACAGTCTCATGGGAAAAGCAAGAAATGGAATTGAATGGTCTTGAAATTCACGCGAAATGCAGTGTAAATGAGAGTCGAAGATGGGATAGGATGGGCTTGGTGCTTTGGTCGGTCAGAGGAAAAGGGATTTTACCGGTTTTTATAAAGTAGTAAAAAACTAAGGGTTTATTTTCCAAAAAAAACAACAAAAAAAAAAAAAGGCTAATGGGCGTTTGGCAACATTTTTTTTTTTTTGTTAAATGGATGGAAAATTGAGTGGGGAAATCGTATTCGGTAATATTTGTTACATTTTCACTATACCTCTCCTGTTTTTTTTGATAGAGTTGGGTTTTTTCTTTAAAAGGGCCCAAAGGCAATAAATAGACTTGGGTTTTTTCTTTAAATGGGCCCAAAAGCAATAAAAAGATGTGGCTGAACCATTGTGGCAAGCAGATACATGAATAGTTCGGTGAGTTAGCGTTTTTTGTGAATTTTGAAGTATCAGGTTTAGATTATCTGTATTTATTAATCTAAATTCTAACACTTCTTACTTAAAAAAAAAAATTCATTGTTGCCAGAAATTTTTAAAAAGTCAATTTATGGAAAATATTTTTTTATAATAATCTAAACATTATTTTTAAACATTGTGTAATAAATTTAATGTGGATGGAAATTTTTCAAAAGTAGCAGTAAGATATAATTCGATGAACAAAATAGGGCTAAATCGAATGACACACGTAAGTATCTGAACATGACAAGACAAGACAATTATTCAGATCGCCAATCCGACGGTAAGATAAGCTATAATATCATAAAATTAATAAGGAGTGGAGTATATTGTAACAACCGTAATTTTTTTAACACTATATATATATATATATACACATATATATATATATAAGAGATAGAGCTACGATAAGGAATGATTAGTTTATTTGACTAGTTTATTTGACGTAGGTTATTTAATGGAGATAACGTTATCATTCAATTTGAGTTTTAAAGAGTTTTTATTTAACTCAACCACTTGATATATATATGTATATATCTAGAATTAGTTGTATTTAGTTTTTAATCTACGCTACTATCATTGGGATTTTTCACGTTTATCAGAAGGAAAATTTATTCGTAGGGAAGCATAGAAACTTAAGTCAATTGCAATTACAGAAAAGTTAATTCTTGCTTTAAATTCTGTGTATATTTGTGTTTTGAATTTTAGATGATTATTCATGATTTATTAAATCTCATGATAATTTATTTTAATCATGGGTTGGAGATTACGTACAGAGTTATGAGGTAATCTAGGCACATGTGATTATAGTTGATTTTGGAGAATGTATTTAGTTGAATGAATTATGGATTCTGAATGATACTTTACATAATTAGCATGTTATGATATATCTATACATATATATCGCAGGAATCTATTTACATAAGTAGAGGTGGGTGTTCAATTATCATACAACTAGTCGTTGGTTTCCGTACATATATGGTATTTTGTTTTAATCAACATATTAGTTGGATGTCAGTAGCGTGACTACATTGATGTATTTTATGGGCCTGTGCAAATGGGTGTTAGACTTTTAAGATTAGTTTGTTCAGTACTTGTGTGGCAATGAAATCCTAAGTATAGACTTGCAGATTGATTTGATGAAAATAAAGAGGAATAAGTCTCAGATTGGTGCAAGGCAATGGTTTATTTTGATTAAATGAATGGAAATTTTACCACCATAGAATAGGCTTACAGAATGGTTTACAACTTATTGTAATTAGGACTATAAGGTGATACTGGTATGTTGATATTAATTAATTAATTATTTATTTAATTATTAAGGTGTTTGATAAACTCATAATATTATGAGTATGAATTATCTAAATGTATTAGTATTTAATTGAAGCAATTAAACTAGTTGGAGTGATAGTCAGGGATTTACCCAATGATGAGTTTGTTGAGTACAGTCAGCGACTATCTTTGGGATTGAATTACTCTTTTGTTATGGCCATTGGGCTAAAGGTGCCCTTAGTATGTGGACGTGGTCAGGGCTATCTGGGAGAGTAGACGTACAACCCAGCCACATATGTGTATTTGGTAGTCAGAGACTATGCAATTCACACCATTTATTCGGAGTAGAGCCAGGGGCTCATGTGAGGTAATGGCATTAAAACGTCAACTGGTTGAGGGGAGCCAGGAGCTCATGTGAGGTAAGTAGAATTTTAGTAATTTAAATTCTAGATGGGTTACAAGTTCACAGGTTGAGTTAATATTATAGAATGGCGATGATTTTTAAATATTTCATAATCACTTATATATGTATATATATACCGATTTTAAGTAAGGATTGACTTGCTGAACGATGATAGTGTTTAGTAATTTTTTGCTGAACTTGTGAGTTGTGCACATGGATTTAGCTTGCAAAGGAGGCTCAATGGGAGATGGAGATTTTCCGGATTTCCACATATTGATTTTATTATTGTTTCTTAGCAAACACTTTGTAATAAGATTCATTTAGTTGGTGGAATTTTTTTTATTAGTTAGGGATGCAATAAATTTCGTTTGGATCGATGGATTTTTAAATACAATGTATTCTTACTGATTTAATCATGGATTGTTGTGGATGAATGAGGTGAGTCACGTACCAGATTTTAGTATAAGATAAGGGTTCTTGTGTTAGAATTTTTAGTATATGTAAATGTGTCATCTCTAATTGGTATGAGGTCTTTTGGGTGAAACCCAAGAGCAAAACCGTGCGGGCTCAAGCCCAAAGCGGACAATATCATACTATGTGGTGGAATAGGGCGTTACAAATGGTATCAGAGCCTGACCCAGCCGGAAGTGTGCCGACAGGGACGTCGGGCCTCCAAGGAGGGTGGATTGTGATGACCTTGTGGGCGGGTGTGCCGTGGGCGGGTGCGAGAGACACTGTCAGGCTATCACACTGGCGAGTTACGGGTGCACAGTCCCACATCGCCTGGGTAGAGGAAAGGTAAAGTGCTTATATATAAATGTGTCATCTCTAATTGGTATGAGGCCTTTTAGGGTGAAGCCCAAGAGCAAAACTGTGCGGGTTCAGGCCCAAAGCGGACAATATCATACCATGTGGTGGAGTAGCGCGTTACATATATAGTGTAATTCTCAGCACAAATAAGGAAGTTTAATGTCAATCCCTATGAATAAGGCCCAAGGAGGCCGTGAATCAAGAATAACACTAGTGTAAATACTAAAAGCATGCACTAGGAAAGGAGAGTCAAAAAACAGTTGAGAGAGAGCTGTTTACTTTGTATTTTTGTGCTCAAGAGGTCAACCCCAAGCCATAAACAAGAGTCTTAGTACAAATTTTTTTGTTTATTTGGTGTAAATTTGTTTGCAAATTTCTGCACTTATATGTAGTTACTGCTTACTTAACAACTGTTTTGTTGTATGTTTTATATTGCGGGTAGTGTATTGTAGACTTGTTTTTATTTGGTGTAAATTTGTTTGCAAATTTCTGCACTTATATGTAGTTTCTGCTTATTTAACGACTATTTTTATTGTATGTTTTATATTGCGGGTAGTGTATTATAGACTTGTAGTGAAGCAAAACGTTTTTACAACTTTTATTGTCATTTGAATAATATCACATTTATTGTCAAAAAGAGGCCCAAATGAAAACAAAAAATTGGTGTTTCTTTATGTTTTGGCTAAGGTGAACAGTATCCAAAAATTATATAAGGGGCCTTTTTTAATTAGTCATTAAGTTAAAGCAATAATGCTACACTTCTTTATGACCGGTTTGATATGCCTTTCTTTTTTTTTCTTTTTTCTGTAGTAGTGAAGAGTGAAAAAAAAATATATGTTTGTTCAAAATTGTTTTGTAAGTGCACAATGCTGAAATGTTTTATAAATACCACCAATTTGATATTTTTATATGTTTTCGCACTGAAACGTTTGGTGTAGTGATGAACAATATTTAAAAAAAAAAAAAAAAAAAAAAAAAAAAAAACAATCTTGAATGAAAATTTTAAACTAACCATTATATTTTTCAAACTTGGCAACGATTTTTTTACCAGACATGTTTTCATATTTTTGTTTCCAAAAATATTGCAACAAATAGACATTGCAAAACACTTGTTTTATTTCAAGTTAAAACAAAACGCCAAAAACAAAATGCGTATCAAACAGGCCGTTACTAGACACGTTTTCATGTTTTTACTTTCAAAAATCTTACACCAAAATTTATGTTACCAAAACATGCTTCCAATCACAAATAAACACACTTCACAATAAAAACTTTAATTTTATTTATGATAAAAATAAAAACACAAAACAAAAATGATTGTCAAACGAGCCCTTATAAAATATTTCTATTCGAAGTATGTCACAATGAAATTTAGAAAGCAAATTAAAAATGATTGACAAACACTGTCAGCGGATAATGCATAATTGTGAAATTTTATTATTATAGTCGTTAAAATTCAAATTTAATGAAGCAAGGTATACACTGTCAAACATTACAGAAAGGAGTGTACCAAAAATGATTTTGATCTACGTCACACCTAACAAATTCTAAAGCTATTTTTTTTTTCTTTTTTCAAACATTTTAATATTTTTTAAAATGCAAAAGGAGATTTTTATTTCTCTTCCTAATTGGTATTGATCAATCATCAGTAAAAGTGTATTAAATGGGAGTTATAGATTTTTTAATTGGAGTTAAATTAAATAAGTATGTATTTGCATGTGTATATTTGTATTGTTGTTGTGTTTTGTTTTTTTATGTTTTGTTTCACTGAGTCATGTTTATTGGGTTGGGTTTTATGCTGCCGATGTTAATTTTATGATGCGGAAATATAAGATGTAAAATAAAAAAATGGAAGAGAGAAAGATAAATAACACATTATATACATGGTTCGGCACTAAGACTTACATCCATGGATCAAGAGCCACTGAAGTTACATTTCTCTTATTGTTTGTATTTCTTAAT